CATGAAGCTATTATCCCACCAATTCAACGAAACGTTATACTATGGCTTTGATTTCTCCCGAATGGCGTTTACGTAAGTGACCCTTCGAGGCGCACGTTGGCTTTGGGGATCGGAGTATCCATGGTCCAAAGTAACGCATTGGTTTAAACTTAAGCCAGTGCCCTTCTCAATAATGGGCTCTTGCCGCCCACTTGGCCAATCACAAACATTTTTTATTCGCACTAGTACAGATACGCGCGGCGGTTGTCATGACGACGGTGTTCATGACTGCAGAAAATAGGGTTAGTTCCGTTTCCAAGTGTTGATAGTGTAACTTAGACCCTTAGACTTTTTAAATGCAATGTTTCTCAGCTAAAGATGTTGAAAGAAGCATCAGATATGATGAAGCAAGCTCACTGGTGACTATTGGCATACTTTAAATGAAAAAGGCTGCTCTAGATAATCCAGTTCATCCCTTTAGATTATGTTCGTTATTTTCTCCCATACGCCATTGTTTACGTCATCACACCTTGCACAACTTTGAGGGAGAGCCGTTGTATCGGGAAGTCGTGCTCACGAACGCCAGATTTGAACGATTCGACTATTACATTTTTTTAGCCTTGGTCGCCACATGGTCAGTGGTATGGTGGGATTTAATTGGCATTATTATAGCGTCATGGATCACCGGGTGACCGTGAATAGTCTCCCGGAAATACTCTGCACATATTCGCGGGCGTGTAACTCAGGATCTAGAAAGGCTTAGGTCTTAGGAAGGGCAAGCCTGTGGACTGCGCCGAATGATCAGCAAGATGCTAGTTCAGTTTAAAGCTTCATGCAAATATGAAACACTCCCTGTATATTTTCGGATTTCGTACGGTTTAAGCAGACGTGGAAATGCTCTTTCTTCCGCAAAACAACGTTCCAAATTTCGGCTACATTTCAGTCTAAATCTAAGCGTCTTAATTTCGTTTTGGCTTCAGTCTCGTGATTTTAACTGATTCTGCTTGCCTTCGTGTTTCCTTAGTACGTAGGCCCTGGCTATGACTTCGGCTTCGCGTGTACGAAGTTGAAGCCATTGGCTTTTAACTTCGGAGAAGGCTCTTCGAGAGCTTACGCCAATGACTTAGCGGTTTCCGAAAATCACGTATAGCGTGATATCCCGAGCTTTTCATTTCGCGGAACAGCATCGTTATTAGTTTTTTTATCTGTGGGCACCCAGCGCTGCAAATGTAAGCCAGCTGTCGGCGAGGATTATCAGTAGTGCATTTGAAGACTTAGTCTGGACTTATGCACATCCGGAGACTCGGAGCTCTCGTTGAATTCGGTGTATGAGTCATTCCTACGCCCCACTCATTTTGCACACCTTTCTCGGTGCCACCAGGTGCGCTCATGGCTCCGAGACACCGCAGACGTACACTGTGACACCGGTGACTCCGGCAACCGTTCGTCTTACCGGTCCAGGGCTCCTGCATGTGGCAAGGGGGAGGGGGAGGGGGGGTATCCACTGCCGCATTCAACACAAATGGCACGACAGCTTGGAACTGGTTTGACGAGCCTCTTACCGTCTCGTGACATCGGGGCTCCTCCCAAAAGCACAGTAGCAGTGGGAGCGGTGGAAAATCCCCTGTATCTCGGGTTGGCTTGGCCAATGTCTGCCTGCACTCCCACGTACCCCTTCCCTCCCCACAACTGTGACCCGTGCGAAGGGGGCCTGTGCGGCCCTTGCCCGCCGCCTGAGTGGGCGTTGCTGATCACTGACGCTCGTGACCGCTGACCGGTGGCAGTGCGGACCGGCCGACGACGTGCCCGAGCTGGACTTCGTGTACGCCGACGCCGACAGCGCGGCCCGCGAGATCGCCGAGCTCTACAGCTTCACTGAGCTGCCGGAGTTCGGGCTCAACCACCAGGTGGGCAGGGGGCGACCGCGGCCGGTCAGGGCTGAGCGGTCGGTCCGGATCGTCAGATGGGCACTCAAGGACCGCCGCCGCTCGAGGCAGGGCGGGCTGGACACGTGTCGGCGCGGCGTGCGCGGTGGGGTTCGCGTTTGTCAAGGTTTGAGCGTTTGGTCAAGGATGCACCGCGGCGCGGTGTAGCGGATGTTGTTGGTCAAGGCAGGCCTTATTGGTCAGAGCGACGGTCAACGGACACGCGCTTTTCTGTCGCCGCACGCTTCTTCTTCGAATGCCTACACTTCCCCTTCTTGAAGCTATACGGCAGTGAACGACCGGAGCCCGCCGACCGTGCGGTTTGACCATGTCCCGCGGTCCATTGTTTTCGGCAGGAGCGTGCCTGTCGGCCGAGGTCCGGTTGTCGCGGTTCGATGAACCGGGTCGTGTTTGCCGGGAGTCCGGGCGGCGAACCAAGCGTCGCCGCTTGGTTCGCTTTGCCTGTGATCAGCTGCCGGCTGCACTCGAGCGACCGTGAGACTTGGACTGTTCGACACATGCCTGGCCAGAATCCGTGACTCACAGCTCGCTGAGATTCCACGCACACAAACAGATACGGCTGTAGGGCGTATACGTGGCGTCCGACGACTTGACTGTCCGTGACGCCGGCGTGTGATCCGCTGCCGGCAGTACCTCACCGACACGGTGCTGGAGCTGGGGCTGGACGTGCGGTGGGCCGATATGTCGGACGCGCAGCGCACCTCCGTCGTCATGAAGCTGGTCGACAAGGTGGAGCTGGCCAGACGGGATGACCGGCTTAAAGGTGGGGACGAGCGCGGTGGAGGACCGGGGTGAGGATCTCAAAGGTACGGACGAGCGCGGTGGAGGACTCAGGTGAGGGTTTCAAAGGTGAGGACGAGCGCGATGGAGGACTCAAGTGAGGGTCTCAAAGGTGGGGACGAGCACGGTGGAGGGCTCAAATGACGGCTGCGAAAGCGGAGGCAGGCGCAGTGGGGGGTTCGCCATCAAACCCCGGAATTGAGTTCACGAGCAAAGCAGCGGTAAGCAGTGTGAACGCCTGGAAAAATCGGCAGTGGCCGGCGTGAGTGACGCAACTCACGCGCTGTAAGGCTGCACGTGGCATACCGGCACGTAGCTGAGCTGCATGAGCCCCGCTGACGCTCGCGGCCGTGGCGCGGCTTGGCCTCGGTGGGGGCACCTCTGGAGTGACGCGGCGCCATGTGAGCGGGGCATTGCTCGGCCGCACGCGGCGCCATGTGAGCGGGGCATTGCTCCGGCCGCACGCGGCGCCATGTGAGCGGGCGTTGCTCCGGCCGCACGCGGCGCCATGTGAGCGGGGCATCGCTCTGGAGTGACGCGGCGCCCTGTAAGCGGTCGGCTTGTGGCCTGTTCCAGCCTGTCGCGCCATCCTGTACGTCAGCCAGGGCTGCTGGGCCGACCTGGCCACCGAACCAGAGGTGCGCGCCTGGTCCCGGCGCAACGTCTTTCTGCTCTACAAGTGCGGCGTGCTGCCTACGCTCGTCGACATCCTCCAGCTGGAGATCGAGTGAGCTGATCCGGGGTGACGTGGCGGCGTATAGGCGCGGTCAGCGCCGGGATGTGCCATGACAAGCACGAGCTTATTGTGCTCGGTGATCTGTGTGGTTGTATACTGCTGGTGCTTGGGTTGCTGTGAATTTTGGATGGCCGTGACGCTGGCGTTGGAGAGGGAGACGGGGATTGACCGATGATTTGTGTTTTTCGTGTGGTTTGCGAACATCTGCCTTAATTTTTTTTCCAGGAACCAACGATTGCAATTGATTGATGTCAAATGTTAGCGATGTACAACGCCTAGACGCTAAATACAAGTTCGGATACGTTCTATGTGTGCAGTCAGGTAGCTCAACGCTCTGTCTTGTTGTGAACGCCCTTGTTCGCTAGCAGCGTTGGCGAATCCGCTCCTAGCCGGGACGACATGTCCACACACATGTAGAGCGGCACAGCTCTGACACAGCTCTGACCCGCTCTGACCCGCTCTGACCTCGCTCTGACCCCGCCCTGACACAGCTCTGACCCCACTTTGACCCCGCCCTGTATATCAGGAGCGGCACGGCCCCGGTGACGGCGCTGCGCAAGCTGGCCGTCTCGCTGGCCGACTCCAGCGACCTGCGGGTGATCCTGAGCGTGCTGTACCTGATGGTGGAGCAGATGCGCACCGACGGGGGCGACGACACGCCGGAGGAGGCGCGCCTGCGCCAGGCCTTCGCTCAGGAGCTGGGTGGGTGAGGTGGCGCCACCTGCTCGAGCGTGCTCGCCGGTGGACCGGTCGCTGTCCCGCCGTCTGGCGGCCTCACTTCAGCGGCCGGCTTCGGGAACATGCACCGCGTGTTGCCCTCTTACATCGCAGCAGGAGGGTGCTGTGTCTTTTCCCAGCAGGGACAAACTTCACGACAGATCGCTGTGTCGGCAGTCGGTGATGATTTGCGTTTCAGAATGCCGCCTGCGTGGTCGTAATGTTTCATACGCGATGTAAGGTTCTTCCAAATGAGGTTTGGATTCCCCCCAGTAGTGGCGAAGACGACCCAACGTCATTGGAATACTCGTGAAGTTGTACGAATATTGACAACTGAGAAGACATTGAGTCGTGATTTGTCTTGTCACGTTGCACGGCCCTTTTCATGGCTTGTCTGATGGTGATCTCCATCGGAGCTGTGCCCTGCTGGAAGCCACGATCTTCGACCGTCTGCAACCCTGACCCGCACGGCGTCTTCTGGCGGTAACGCCGTATCTCCATCCCGCCCCCAGGTCAGCCGCAGGACAACGGCGAGCTGCTGGCCGTCACCCTGCTGGGCATGGTGTCTCGCTTTTGCAGCGGCGCCGCGCCTCACTTCCCCATGAAGAAGGTGCTGCTCGTCACTTGGAAGGTGAGCCGCCGACGCCACCCCCGCCGGCTGCCGGCGCCGGTTAGGTGAAGCTGGGCGTGACCTGCTCCCCCCTTCCGCGCCGGCGGCCGGTGCCGGTCATATGGAGTTGGGGCACGCCCCAGCTCGAACCCAAACACACCCCAACAACCTGCCTGCTCGCCCCCGCCGGCTGCCGGTGCCGGTCATGTGGAGATGGGACGTGACCTGGTCCTCCCCTGCCGGCTGTCGGTGCCGGTGTGGAGCTGGGACGTGACCTGGTCCTCCCCCGCCGGCTGCCGGTGCCGGTCATGCGGAGCTGGGACGTGACCTGGTCCTCCCCCGCCGGCTGTCGGTGCCGGTGTGGAGATGGGACGTGACCTGGTCCTCCCCCGCCGGCTGCCGGTGCCGGTCATGTGGAGCTGGGACGTGACCTGGTCCTCCCCCGCCGGCTGCCGGTGCCGGTCATGTGGAGCTGGGACGTGACCTGCTCCCCCCCCCCCCCCCCCCTCCCCCCGTCGGTTGCTAGCGCCGGAGGGCAGCGAAGCTGAAAGCTTCCCTAGGGACTTGCGGGTGGGGACGGTCCGCAGCCTAATGTCCTATAGAGGATGTGGGAGTTTGCCGTATTGCGTCTTGACGCCATAGGATGTACGGACATGGGTTTCTTTCTGCTTTCCCTGTTTTATCTTCAGCTATTGCAGAGAGTTCCATTGCATATACCCGCCAGCTGTCCTGTCCCAGCCCATAGGCGGATCCGGGGGGGGGGGGGCACGGGGCCATGTCCCCCAAAAAACTGAGAGTATGTTTTGGCCCCCCAGGAAACATCCCCAGAACTTCATACAAGTTTCGTCTACTTGCCGTCTGTTTTAACTTTGATGGTGCGGTAGCAAACAGTTCTTTCCGTTCCGGAAAAAACTTCATGAAGAAAAGTTGGCAGCGATTTGAATATCAAACTAAAACGCATGTTGACGCGGCTTAGTCATGCTCGGCGCAGACATCGTGTTTGATAAGTGCACTGGACGTCGGATCCCACACCAGCCAGCTGGCCACGAACGGTTGCCCCCCCCCCCCCCCCCAAACCCCAGGCCAGATCCGCCCCTGTCCCAGCTTGCTGACCGTCCAGTCCCACCCCAATCTACTCGCCGGCACTCTCCTTTCTTTTCCGCCACGTTGTCCCGTCTCTCTACTGACCTAACCTCCCTCCTCAGGTGCTGCTGCTGACCCTGGGCGGCTCGGCCGAGCTGCGCCGGCTGCGGACGACGGCGCGCGCCGCCGCCGGCCTGCCGGACGTTCCCGAGGACACGGTCGAGCGGACCCGCACCATGCGCGCCTCCAGCCCGGTCATGGCGCCCGCAGACCTGTTCGACCCCAACCCGCATCGGCCCAGGTTTACCAGGGTCAGTGGCGGCAAGAGGGCTCCGTATCGTCCGGGGGTCGAGGGGGCTGCAGGAACGGATGGGCTGTGGGAGCCACGGGCTCAGGCCAGCTGTGGAGGGGGTATACGCTTTTCAGGCTTTGTGCCCAGAGCCGTGTGATTTTGGGCACGTCTGGGTTCGTATGTACATGTGCCCGCGCGTGTGTGCGTGTGTGTCCACGTCCACTGGTCTGAGAAAGGTTGCCCAGCGTGTGGACAGCGTCACTCGCCTGCCTCGGCCGCTCCCTCTCCGCGCCGTGACGTGGACGTCTCCGCGGCCGGCCGGCTGGCGTCTGACCGGCCCGCCGCGCCGCCGGCAGTCGAAGGTGTCCAACGTGGACCTGCAAGACGAGCTGGCGTGCAAGATGGCCGCGCTGGACGGCGCGGAGCCGGCGCCGGACGACGAGGCCGCACCGGGGGCCGAGCTGGACCGGAGCCCGCCGCGCTGCGACTCACCCCGGCCCGCCACGCCCGTCCACCACGGCAGAGGTGGGCTCCGGGCCGGCCGCTGCCGGGGGAGGGGGGCAGCCGCGGCCGCCTCACTGCTGTTGTCGGGTGACGAGTCCGCACCGGCTGTGACCTGTCGGCAGTTCGTTACAGCCCACGGTTCAAGTCATCAGGTAGTGTGCTCTGTCTTCTGCTGGTGCGCAGCCCCGGGCCGGGAGTCTGTGCCCCGATGTTGTCGTAATGTTACTTTGGTTGTGATATTTCTCGTTGCGCGTTGATTTCGACGCGTGCAATATCCCAAACATTCCAACTGGGCAAGGACGTGTTCCGTGACGGTGCCGCCGTCGTCGGCAGCGCTGCCCTGGAAGCCGAAGGTGCATCCAGCGGGACATCGAGGAGTACCTGACCGTGAGCCGGGAGAAGTTCGTCGGCTATCCGTGTGGAGGACGACCTGGAGACGATGGCCGGCCTGCCGCAGCCCATCCTGGAGGGCCGCAGCATCCTCGACAAGGTGGGTCCGTCGGGGCTGGGCGCCAGCCGCTGACGAGCTGAGTCCGTCGGGGCTGGGCGTCAGCCGCTGACAAGGTGAGCCCGTCGGGGCTGGGCGTCAGCCGCTGACAATCTGAGTCCGTCGGAGCTGGGCGCCAGCCGCTGACAAGGTGAGCCCGTCGGAGCTGGGCGCCAGCCGCTGACAAGGTGAGCCCGTCGGAGCTGGGCGCCAGCCGCTGACAAGGTGAGCCCGTCGGAGCTGGGCGCCAGCCGCTGGTGCCGCTGCGGCAGGCGGAGGTTTGGGTAGCTGGGCTGACCCGTGCCCTGTTGCATCACTGTGTGGCCGTTTGGATGTTTTATGTTGTCGTAGTTCAGTTGAGCTATATTCGATGGACGGTTGGGGGGTGTCAACCACAACAGAGTAATGCGATGGGACCGGTCTGAGTGTCGGGGCGTCTCGAGCGTGTCCGGCCGGGTGTTGTTGCCATGGGGCCGGTCTGAGTGTCGGGGCGTCTCGAGCGTGTCCGGCCGGGTGTTGTTGCCATGGGACCGGTCTGAGTGTCGGGTCGTCTCGGGCGTGTCTGGCCGGGTGTTGTTGCCATGGGACCGGTCTGAGTGTCTGACAGTCTCGAGCGTGTCTGGCCGGGCGTTGTTGCCATGGGACCGGTCTGAGTGTCGGGTCGTCTCGGGCGTGTCCGGCCTGGTGTCGTTCTCTGAGTCTCGTGTGCCGGTTTCTTTTAGGTTGATTTGCGTCTCCTGACGGCACGATGAGCCCTCTTTCCCCCTGTGCCCCCTTCCGTCCCAGTCCGTTCATCCGTCTCTTTAAAGGCAGTGTTCCATATTCGTAGGAGGCTTTAAACAAAATGAGCCAGCTTGCAGATCATTCGGCGCAGTCCGCAGCCCTGGCCTTGTTAAGACCTAAACATGTTTAGTTTCTGAGTCATACGCCCGCGAAGATGTGCAGACTATTTGGGGAGAACTTTCAACGTCACCCAGGAATCCATGCTGCCATAATGACGCCATCCAAATTCTGCCCTTCCATTAGCCATGCGGCGATCAAGGCCAATGAAAGTATAGCTGCCGAGTCGTCCATATCTGGCGTTTGTGACCACCACTTCCAGATATAATGGGTGGTGATAGGCCCTCAAACACTGTTGTGCAAGGCACGATGACGTACTCAAACAGTGACGTATTTAGGAGTTGATGTGCTAAACAGAGAAATTGTGTTGTCTAGAGCGGTCTTTTCCACTCGCAAGCATATCAGTTATTGTATATGAGCGTCCTTTATCATATATGATGCTTGCTTCAGTATCTTAGAATGTGAAACATTTTCTTTAGCAACACTGGTACCGTTCCCCTGTTAAATTGCATATTCGGCGAGCGTCTGTACCGGTCCCCAATTGGTCTGTCTCTGCCGGCAGCACCTGTACCGGTCTCTGGCCGAGGTGCAGACGGAGCGGGAGGAGGAGATCAGCCAGAGCCCCTTCAGCCGGCCCGAGACGGACGTGCCCCAGACTCCCGCCGAGCTGCTCTTCTCGGTGGGTGGGCAGACGCCAGGCACCTGAGGGCAGTTGCCCGGCACCTGAGGACACTGCTCGGGACCTGAGAGCGCTGCCCGGCACCTGAGGGCACTGCCCAGGACCTGAGGCCACTGCTCGGGACCTGAAGGCACTACTGGGGACCTGAGGGCATGCTCGGGACCTGAGGGCACTGCTCGGGACCTGAGGGCACTGCCCGGGACCTGAAGACACTGCCCGGGACCTGAGGACACTGCTCGGGACCTGAGGGCACTACTCGGGACCTGAGGGCACTGCTCGGGACCTGAGGGCACTGCTCGGGACCTGAGGGCACTACTCGGGACCTGAGGGCACTACCCAGGACTCGAGGGCACCGCCCGGCGCTTGAGTGTACTGCCCGGCACCTGAGAGCATTGGCTGGACCCTGGGAACACTGTTCGGCACCTGAGGGCACTGCTCGGCGCTGGCCACCCCTGTGTCTCGGAGGAGCAGGCGTAAGCGCTGTTGTTCTTGGGGAGAGATGCGTAGAGGCCAGGCCTGTCCATCGCTGGAATAGGCGGATCACCGCTGGTCCGTCCTCCGCTGGAGCGAGCAGCGAATGCTGCCCTCGCGCGGCCCGAGCATGTGGCCACTGCCCTGTGGAATGAACTGGCCGTGGTGAATGGCAATCTGTCGGTGAAGTGGGCGGAGGCCGTGACCGCTCGTCCTGGGCCAGGGTGGTCGCTGATTGACTGGGAGAGGGGTGGGGGGAGGGGGGCAGAGAGACAGACGACCGTTTCGGGAAGGAAGCAGTGGCACGCGGAGAGAACGTGTTGCGCCGTCCAGTCAGTGGTAGGATTTCCCTGTGGCGAGGGGTACTTAAGCAGAGTTTCATCAGGCATGTTTCTGCTACTCTGTGCCAGTGCAAACGTTTGGTCAAATGCTTTGTTAGTGCGACCCAGCTGCAAAGCTTTGTCATTCAATATAAAAATGCATGGAACTATTGTAAACGGCATTATTCAGACTCGGCGTAGCACGTATACGATAATGTCACCATCAATGATCGCTGGGACCGTGTAGTATGCGCATGCAGTTTGCCTGAAGGCTCGCCCATTTGTTCGCTCATTGGACGCGGACTGATCAGACATGAGTCGTGGATCCATCAGACCGATCTGACAGGCTCGCGGGCTGATCGGTAATGGCTGCCGGCCGGTAGCTGGTGGGAGCTAGCAGCTGGCCAGACCTCTGACCCGACGGCTGACCCCGGCCTTGCGCCGCCGCCGCCGCAGGGTATGCTGCCGAGTTTGCCGCAGTACATGATCGCGCTGCTGAAGGTGCTTCTGGCGGCGGCGCCCACCTCCAAGGCCAAGTCGGACTCGATCAACATCCTGGCCGACACGCTGCCCGAGGAGATGCCGTAAGTGCCGTGGGCGTCAGTTAAACGCCGCCTGAATCCAGGGGAGGGCGTGCAGATTAATGACATTTGGTGTCGTTTGTGTCACGTTTTTAGTTGGAAACTGATGGCGCCGTCCCTGCCTACCGCCCGGTGCCCTTGGCATGCACGCGCCCGTGCCGTGTGCGCTGCTCTCCGTCTCTGGGGCCGGCGTCACGGCTCGCACCTGCCCGTCGCTCCGCCGCCGTCTGTGCCGTGTGCGCTGCTCTCCGTCTCTTGGGCCAGCGTCACGGCTCGCACCTGCCCGTCGCTCCGCCGCCGGCCCGTGTCCGAGCCGGGCTGTGACGCTCCGCCGCCGTCCGTGCTGCAGCATGTCGGTGCTGCACTCGATGAAGCTCGGCATCGACGTCAACCGCCAGAAGGAGGTGATCGCCAAGGCGGTGTCTGCCGTGCTGCTGCTGCTGCTGAAGCACTTCAAGCTGAATCACATCTACCAGTTTGAGTTCGTCAGCCAGCACCTGGTGTTCGCCAACTGTATCCCGCTGGTGCTCAAGTTCTTCAATCAGGATAACATCGTGCAGTATGTCACCGCCAAGAACAGGTGAATGTCTCGCACGCGCGCTGAGACTCTGTTGGTGGTGGTGGTGTGGTCCTTGCTGGAGGGGTTTCAAACTATCTTTTTTATTTATAAGGTGGCCTGCGCATCGTGCGATTGCGGCGAACAGACTCCCTAAGTATGATATGCTGTTATGAGTAAGTAATAAGTATGATATGCTGCTCGCTGGCGTCAGCCGCCGCACCCCTGTCTCGTTGGCGGTGACCGCTGCGCTCCTGTCTCGCCGGCGTCAGCCGCCGCACCCCTGTCTCGCTGGCGGTGGCCGCTGCGCTCCTGTCTCGCCGGCGGTGGCCGCTGCGCCCCTGTCTCGCTGGCGGTGGCCGCTGCGCTCCTGTCTCGCCGGCGGTGGCCGCTGCGCCCCTGTCTCGCTGGCGGTGGCCGCTGCGCTCCTGTCTCGCTGGCGGTGGCCGCCGCACCCCTGCCTCGCTGGGGGTGGCCGCTGCACTCCTGTCTCGGTGTGCCGACCGCTGACCGTCTTGCGCCGGCGCTGCAGTATCCTGGCGCTGGACTTCCCGCGCTGCGTGCTGGGGCCGCAGCCGGAGCTCACCTCCGAGTCGCTCCAGCTGGGCGACGAGCAACCCTTCTGCTGGCGTAATGTCTTCACCAGCATCAACCTCCTGCGCATCCTCAACAAACTCTGCAAATGGAAACACTCCCGCATCATGGTAAGCACGTGCTATGTGTTGCGAATAGCGATGCTCATTTGCTTTGGATTTGCAGACTGAGGACCATGGCCATCCTTCTATACGGTTTCTACTTTCCTGAAGGCCTGCCTTGTATTCGATCTCATGAGTGGACCCGTCACAGTCCGCTGTAAAGTGCGCACTGTTCAGTGTGTGGGGTCTGACCTGGTCCCACCGCTGACCACTTCCGTGCCTTGACACTGCGTGCCGCGTTCCCAGATGCTGGTGGCGTTCAAGTCGGCGCCGATCCTGAAGAAGGCGCTGCGAGTGAAGCACGCCATGATGCAGGCGAGTGGCTCTGGCTGTGCGCTGCTGGCTGGGATCCAGCCGGCGGCGACGCGTGCCATAAGGCCTCTGACGATAAACCGAGACGATTCTCCACACGAGTAGTCACACGAGTTCATGTTCACGAAGCTTGTCATATTACGTCATCAGTTGACAGACTGGCTTGCGAGCGGCGGGTACGGGAACTCGGCAGGGCGTGACTGACGGGCCCGGAGACACGGACTGTAAGCGGCCTGAGGGCGGCCCGGCGGCGCGCCCCTGATGCCTGACGCCGCCGCCGCCGCCGCCGCGCAGGTGTACACGCTGAAGCTGCTCAAGATGCAGACCAAGTACCTGGGCCGGCAGTGGCGCAAGTCGAACATGCGCACTGTCAGCGCCATCTATCAGAAGGTGCGACACCGGCTGGTGGACGACTGGGCCTTCGGCAACGGTGAGCGGACTCGGCGGCGGGCGGCGGAGCGGCCGGTGTGAGGGCGGCCGGGCCGGTAATAGAGCTTGGATGGCGGGGGGGGGGGGGGGGTAGGCTGGCCACAAGCGGTGGTCGCTTGAGTTATGTGTGTCGGACTGAGCCGATGCCAGGCCCGAGCGGTGAAGTCGATACTGATCGGAGACGGGATGCGTGTTGGTGTGCACAGTGCTGCTGGGACCGAGTCCCGAGGCTGACTTTGCTGGTCTGGTGTGGTGTTGTTTTCCAGACTCTGACTTCTCGCGCCTGTGTACCTATTACCGCGGCGGTGAGTCCCTCTGCGGGGACGGCGGACGGCGACGGCACTCTGTGGCCGCTCCCAGGCCTGGTGACCGGGTCACTGTTGCTTGGGACGTGTGTGGCGTCGGACGCTGGGGCGCTGTAGACTAGTCGGGCTGTCGCTGACGGGCCTGTCGTGACCCCTGTGTTCCGGAGCCGGCGTGCTGTCTTGCTTGTGATCAGCGTCACGAGCAGCTCAGGTGATCCGCGGCTTCTGTCGGAAAAAAGTGGTTTTGAGTGCCAGACCTTGTGTCGGTGGTTCCTCCCCGTGGACAACCTGAATGAGTGAGCGGTGCCAAAGGGATGTTTTCGTCGGATTCCTTTTGTCACCTTTGTCTTCGTCGCGATGGGCTATAATGGGTGCTCGTGTAAACTACACCATTGTCTGAGAACACACTGCTCTTTGTCACGTTTTGTTCACATGTGTGACTACGTTTTCAGCTTCTGTGATATGTCATCGGACTTTGTCTCTGATGCTGCCTGGGTCTGTGTATGTTACGTCTGCCTGCCTGGATTTGACGGTATATTTGTGTCGTCCTCATGAGCCCAGTCGCAGCTCAACTGGACCACCTGGCCAGTGCCCTGAACGCCATGTACGGTTCATGGCCGTGTCTTCATACCTTTCTGTGGTTTGTTCGGGCCGCGCAGTTATGTGTTAGCCATCCGCTGGACAGAGAACGGCGCACTGTCGCAGCCATCCCCTGGACAGAGAACGGCGCACTGTCGCAGCCATCCTCTGGACAGAGAACGGCGCCTGTGGCAGCCATCCCCTGGACAGAGAGTGGCGCCTGTAGCAGCCATCCCCTGGACAGAGAACGGCGCCTGTCGCAGCCATCCCCTGGACAGAGAACGGCGCCTGTCGCAGCCATCCCCTGGACAGAGAGTGGCGCCTGTGGCAGCCATCCTCTGGACAGAGAGTGGCGCCTGTAGCAGCCATCCCCTGGACAGAGAACGGCGCCTGTCGCAGCCATCCGCTGGACAGAGAACGGCGCCTGTCGCGGCCATCCCCTGGACAGAGAGTGGCGCCTGTGGCAGCCATCCTCTGGACAGAGAGTGGCGCCTGTAGCAGCCATCCCCTGGACAGAGAACGGCGCCTGTCGCAGCCATCCGCTGGACAGAGAACGGCGCCTGTCGCAGCTATCCCCTGGACAGAGAACGGCGCCTGTCGCAGCCATCCGCTGGACAGAGAACGGCGCCTGTCGCAGCCATCCCCTGGACAGAGAGTGGCGCCTGTAGCAGCCATCCTCTGGACAGAGAACGGCGCACTGTCGCAGCCATCCGCTGGACAGAGAGTGGCGCCTGTGGCAGCCATCCTCTGGACAGAGAGTGGCGCCTGTAGCAGCCATCCTCTGGACAGAGAACGGCGCACTGTCGCAGCCATCCGTTGGACAGAGAGTGGCGCCTGTCGCAGCCATCCGCTGGACAGAGTGGCACCTGTGTCAGCCATCCCCTGGACAGAGAACGGCGCACTGTCGCAGCCATCCCCTGGACAGAGAGTGGCGCCTGTGGCAGCCATCCGCTGGACAGAGAGTGGCGCCTGTAGCAGCCATCCGCTGGACAGAGAGTGGTGCCTGTGGCAGCCATCCGCTGGACGGAGAAAGGCGCACTGTCACAGCCATCCGCTGGACAGAGAGTGGCGCCTGTAGCAACCATCCGCTGGACAGAGAGTGGTGCCTGTGGCAGCCAGCCGCTGGACAAAGTGGCGCCTGTGGCAACCATCCGCTGGACGGAGTGGCACCTGCGGCAGCCATCCGCTGGACGGAGTGGCACCTGTGGCAGCCATCCGTTGGACAGAGAGTGGCACCCGTCGCAGCCATCTGCTGGACAGAGAGTGGCGCCTGTAGCAGCCATCCGCTGGACAGAGTGGTGCCTGTGGCAGCCATCCGCTGGACGGAGTGGCGCCTGTGGCAGCCATCCGCTGGACAGAGAGTGGTGCCTGTGGCAGCCATCCGCTGGGCGGAGTGGCACCTGTGGCAGCCATCCGCTGGACGGAGTGGCGCCTGTGGCAGCCATCCGCTGGACGGAGTGACACCTGTGGCAGCCATCCGCTGGACGGAGTGGCGCCTGTGACAGCCATCCGCTGGACAGAGTGGCACCTGCGGCAGCCATCCGCTGGACAGAGTGGCACCTGTGGCAGCCATCCGCTGACCCCCACCGCGCCGGCGCCTGCGGCTCTCATGGCACCCCTCATGGCACCAGTGCCGGTGGCCCTCGTGGCACCAGTCCAGGTGGCCCTCACGGCACCAGTGCCGGCGGCCCTCATGGCACCAGTGCCAGTGGTCCTCATGGCACCAGTGCCGGTGGCCCTCATGGCACCAGTCCAGGTGGCCCTCACGGCACCAGTGCCGGTGGCCCTCATGGCACCAGTGCCCCATGGCACCAGTGCCGGCGGCCCTCATGGCACCAGTGTCGGTGGCACTCACGGCGCCGTGCACCGTTGCAGAGGTGGACGCGCGGCCCTGGGACTACGAGGCGGAGGAGGGCGCCCTGCGCACCAAGGTGGACCGCTTCATCACGCGCCGCTACAACCCCGAGCATACGGTAACAGGCTGCCACCCCCTCACGGATCTGGACAGGGGGGGGGGGGGGTCTGTAACATGGCGGCGGCGCTGATGAGCTGCGTGGCATGTTACAGTTACTGAGGGCGGGCTCGGTGGTGTTTTCTGCTGCGGGATGCCGGTATGTGTCTCCCTGGCTGATCACTCCGTTATGGAGAAGCGCGCTGTGAGTGTTGTGAACGGACGCGGAGCATCTCAAGCGCAGGCGGCGGCGGCTGTAAGCCGCGCTCGTGCGGTCCGGTCGCTGACGTTGACGGCGCCGGCAGGCGGAGCTGGAGCCGCTGGAGCCGGAGCTCGAGCTCGAGCTCGAGATCGAGCCGACCGGCCGCGAGATGGAGCTGACGGCCGAGTTCAAGGCCAACTACCGGCGCTGGCTGGAGACAGAGGTGTTCCAGCAGAGCATCGACTGGGACAAGCTGATCGAGCCCGGCTACATGGGCTGACCTGAGCAGTGTCCGTTGGGTCGAGGCGCCGCCTGAGCCACGGCGGGGTCGTCGTCCTCGGGCGCTGTACAGTTTTGGGCGGGTCACACAGTCGCTTTTTATGGCTGTGCCGAGCGCCGCTTGGATGGTTGTGTGGCATCGCTGACAGCTTTGAATAATTTGCAGCGCAATGAGAATTGGATGGGAGAAACCAAAGAAGTCCCTTACGCCTCTTTGACGAGGATCAGTGCAACTCTTGAGACTCCGTAATTGCACATTGGAACGCCCCGAGCGGCTGGCTGGAGGGTAGGGTGGTAGGTGATATCCATGGTACTAGTGGTTAACATTATGATGGTTACCCTTGCACTAAGTATGCACTTGAATGTCTGCTTATTGATAACCCAGAGCTTAAGCCTCCGCCATTAAGGCGACCAAGTTACTCGGAGTAGCCGTAGAGCGAGGGGCCGCGCCTCGAACCCAGTCATCTAGCAATGCAGCGCCTGGGCAGGCGGTGTTTTAATCTCGTAGTCTAAGCGAGCCGTGATCACGTGATCGCGGCCCTGCGGCGGCCTATGCGCTGAGTGTTCCCTACGTGACCGCGGGGCTTCCGCCGCAACCCGTGCCTTACATCGAGCGATCCGGCGCCGGAGGACCCCGGATGCGGCCCCGCCGGCGCCGGCCCACCTGTCACCTCTAGTCAGACCGCGCGCGCGGAACGCCTCGGCCGCCCCCGCCCCCCGCCCCTGCCTGCGTTTTGTAACGTTTGGATACTTTGAATACAGGAGTTGCGAGCGACGGCGGCTGTTGTGGCGCGCACGGCCGGCTTGCGCTGTCCGGCTGCGCTTTGCAGACTACCGGCCGCTGGCCGCTACAGAAAGCTGGGATGGAGCTTGCGTGGCTTTCAGCTTGCGCGGTGTGGAATTCTGGACTGTGATCCATTTAGTTTCACAGACCTTAAGCTTGATGTTGATAAATTGTTTTGATGAACAATTCTCTTTCTTTATTTGGCAACGGATTTGCCGATGGCTCCAGGGCCGGGATCCGAGGGGAAATCAGCATGATTCCGGCGGTACCCACACAAAGTTGAATGGAAATAAGTCGGAAGATGATAATCGAATGAGTAGGTCAAATTAGGAAGAAGCCAAAGAGAGAAATTAGAAGGGATAAGTGTTATAAGGGAAAGTCAATGGACAAAAAGTCAAAAAGGACTAAAGTCGACCTGGATAAAGGTCCAATCGACGATAGTCGACGAAAAGGGTCAGAGTTAGATCGATCTCGAAATATAAGGGGTCAGGGTCAGCAGGGGTAGGAGTGGGATTTGTAAATGATATCGCTGACAGCAAATCGACGTGTATAAACGTCGATTGGGGGGATCGAAAGTCAACAAGTAGGTAGCGGAAAGGATTTGTGGCGGGGGAGCTTGATGCTGTGACGTCCGGCCTAACGGGAAATGCTGCCAACTGCGCTCGAATGCGTCCCCGGATTCAATGGGTGTCGCTACCTCGGAGCCCTGGGTCTTCTCATTAGGGCCCGCCCGCGCCCCCGGCCGCCGCTCCCGACACGAAGCCAGCCTTGGCGACCGGGCCATAAGCAGCGCGCCCGAAGCCTATCAGGTAGCCAATCTCCTATGGGTAGCATGCTAGCCTTGGTCTAGGCCCACGAGCATTTCGCTAGCCATTTACTAGGGTGGTTTAACGCAAGGCTCTGGTCTGTGGTTTCCTCTGGTGTTTTGGTTCCCACTTGGAGAGTGCTTATCAATGTTTCACACGGGTCGACTTACACCCTTGCGTTAATTTCAGATTCGACTTTTATCCCTGTCGACTCTGGTCCTTTGATTTTTGTCCTTTGACTTTCCGATTCAATCTATATCCCTATCGAATTTTAACGTTTGACTTTTGTCCGGACACCGCCTTAGGCTCACGTGCGATTTAAAAATGACGGTGTCGTACTTCTGCGTTACTGAGCTCGCCACAGGAGATAGCAGCCACAGTGGGGCTCGCCTCGCAGCGGGAGAATTCAACGCCCGGCAGTATGGTGCCCCCGAAAGTAAATGGTGGAATGTCTTCAACGCCTACGGTCGACGACAATAAAGGGCACGGAGATAGCGACGGTGGAACGTTGAGGGTTATGCACAGTCGGGACACGCTCTCATCTCAGACAGAACATGCCTGGAGTCCGGCGTGGGCAATCTGGAGATGCGAGCGGGTACGGTATTGGCGGCTGCATCTTCGGTGTTGGGCGCGGTCGCACGCCGCTGGATGCCTTGCTGGGTAAGTTCCACAACACACTGCCCCATGTCATGAAGAATGTCGCTGTCTGGATGTCGGCTCACTTTCTCACTTGCGTTATCTCACCTGACGCATAATATGGAAGGTGGTAGTCCGTCCCAAATCGCAACTAATCAGATTTTTTTATCGGCGGTCGATCGGAGCCGCCAACTGGTTGAGGGTCCTCTGCTCCGAGTAAACTTGTTCAGAAGTTGTGCGGAACCGTGCTTAGATGCCATGACAGTTATGAAGGTGATTTGAACGGTGGCATGTGGTGATGATAGGAAGATGCTGCTGCTGTTGTACCGAACACTCATCCTCTCCAAAATTGGTTTTGGTGGTCATAGGCCTAGGAACAGGGGGGCCAGGGGGGCCATGCCCCCCACTTTTCAAAGTGGGGGGCCAGCAATGTTGACTCCCCCCCCCCCCCACTTTTCAGATTAAGGTTGCATTTCGCTTACTTTTGCACCACATTAAACATGCATGCCGATTTACCTAGTCCACCAGCCACCTCCCGTAAGATGCGCCATCTTTTTCGTTTGCGTATTGGTCATCGCTTAGTGTTACAGCCACAGGGCCGACGCCGCACGGCCTACAGACTGCAACGCCGGGCGTCGAGGCTGTTGTTGCTATGACTTGCGAGCGCGCATGTTCAAGACCATATTACGTAGTTTCCTTATCAGTATCAGCTCTGACAGGATCTTGAGCATTTGAAGACAAACATAGGCTAGCCTGTTCCAGCGCCACTTCGCGCTGCTTTAAGGGCTTTTCCGTTCTTAAGGGCCGTTCTTTTCATCAGTGTAAAAATTGCACACGTGAAATATGCGCTCAGGCTTTCCTCTAAATGAAAGATTTGATGTCATGAAGCGTTCAAGGATGCTTTTCCAGAAGCGTCGTCATTTTTGTCCACTCACTGGCCACAACTTAGTATTAGCTGCTACACCAACGATGCGCGACCTACGGAGACTGCAACGCCTGAGGTCGAGGCTTGTGTTTCTAAGATTTTCGAGTGCGCGTGCTCAAAATTACGTCACATAACTTGCATTTCTATTCGGTTAAAGTGTTTAAAGGTTATAATTTCAGAAGTGTCATCATTTTCGTCCACCGGTGGTCCACGGCTAAGAGTTAGCTACTCAGCTCAGAGGACCACGGAGACTAGCGCCTGGTGTCAAGTTTTTTTGTTAAGATTTGCGAGCGCGCATGTTAAAAAAACACGCTACGTAAATTGCATCACTAATCGATTCTGACCTGAGTGGGGGACATTTTCTGACAAACATGGCTCAGGCCATGTTGACATGCGCCCGAGTGGCCGGCTAGATACCCTTCGTTCGGGTGGGTGTCAATTTGACCCCCCTGAGATCTCGGGAACTAAGAGAGCTAGAGACACCAAATTTACAGGGTGTCTTAACCTGTACGTGAACTCACTTAGGTCAAAGTTTTAGCTTGCTAGGTCATGATCTTTAGGTCAAATAGGGTCAAACAAGGCCAAGTTCCAGGTTGGTCTCCAAAGTGCCCCCAGAATCCAGGCAACTGTTTCTAAGCAAAAGGTCATAAGTCCATTTGAGGTCAGTGACCTTGTTTGACCTTTTGAAGATCATGGTGACCCAAATCATACAAGACTGCTCTGAGTTTTGCATTTTAATAAGCGACAAAGATTACGCTAGGCAGTATTTTCCTAAAACAAAATGTCGACCCGGGTCATCCGAGATCAATGACCTGTTTTGACCTCTAAGAAGCCAATGGAAGATGTAGGATGCGGTTCCTGCTGTTAATAAATTCGACATGAGCACCACAAACTATCCCATACAGCAAGCTCCAGGCTAATAAATCAGGTTGGTTTTGGCCTTGCTCTGACCTTCATACCTGAACCTAAGCCAACGTCATTTGCTCACTCATTATTTGTGGTGCCTAAGGGAGCATCTCAGAGTTGTATGGCTTTTTCAAACACTCCGTTATTGTATCAGATTGGACGATTCCCTAGAAATTGCCTTCGCTTGAACCCATGGCCTGATTTTCATCTGTTATAGGTCAGCGACCTTACAAGGTAAATTTTTGTGTCAAACGATCCGCCATTCAGTCGTCCGCAGCTATGCCAAATTTGGCGCAACCACGCCGAGCCCTTCGGAAACCATTCTGGAAAAACCTTCGGGGGGGGGGGGGTAATTGGACCTCCCCCTAACCGAGCGCGTGTTAATACACATTGTTGGCCACTCGATCTGCTATCAAATTTCCATCTTCAAATCTGGATCAAACATATCTATCTACAACCAACCTTCGCGATGTCCTCAATGTCTGTAAACCACAGATACAACTTCTGACGAAGCCTTTGAATTCCTATCGGTTTAGAAGGAGCCAACTAACCATTGTAAAGTAGAGCGCCGGTGATTTATTCCATGCGGTCGTTCAACGTCTGATTCCCGCAGTTCATTGACCTCAAAATGCAAACAGAATTGAGCTCACGTTAGCTCCTGGTTTCTGTTCTGGTTACAGTGTAAAAATAACAACAAAAAACGAAGAAAACCGTGTCACTGGTTAGCAAGTAAGCTGTATCCGGGGATTTTGAGGGAGATCACCATGAGATGGGCTTTTGCCAACCTTGTGTTCCCCCTTGGCAAGGCCCTGACTACGTCCCTGCCTACACACAAGAGCAGGTCAGGTTGTATACGTTCCAAGATGGGCAATGAAGCGTCGGTTGCGTCAATTCATACCTAAAGCAGACAGCTTCTCAGAGGCTATTTTTCTGCGATGGTGTGGTGTAAGGGAGGATGATTCGGGAAAAAGACGCTGTTGCAGGGTGTCCAACACATGTTTCATACACCATGTAGCAGTAACGCTGATCCAAAAGTATGCAACAAAGCAGCCATATGATCAGCTCGCAGTTAGGTCATGCAGGAAACATCTGGGCCAGGGCAGTGGCCACCGACGGCGGACGGGGCAGGGCCCAGATAAGGGACACATGACAGATCGGCCTTATTATGTGGCTTGGCCCTTAAAAGAGAACCTCCAGTATTATGTCTTTTGTCACATTGTTTCTGGTAGTTTCTCCCGAATTTGTTCCCGCCTAAAGTGCTGCGATAAGTCATGTCCGTAAAATTAGCGATTTATTCAGCGATTTATTCAGCGACAAATTGCGATTTCTTTGAACAAAGGTTGTAGGGTCAATTGTGGCACGAGAACACCAAAAATGACCCTTATTTCACAACATCATGTGACCTTCAGGGTCAAAAACCGGGTCAAAGGATAGAAAACTTGATATCACTCAAACACTACCGGCCGGTTTTCAACTTCCAAATGTCAGAATATTTACGTCCATCATGGAATTAGCGTCCATTAAAAAGTCCTGATCTCTCAAGATCATCCTTCGAGGTCAACATTGGCTGAAAGGACGGGGAACTCCATATCACACGAAAATTACCGGCCGATTTTCGACTTACAAGCACCAGAATATTCACCACAGAAAAAACGCGTCCATCGGAAAGCCAGGGTCCCTCAAGGTCATCTTTCAAGGTCAAACGCGGACTCAAAGAACGGGGAACACGATGCCACCCAAAAATTACCAGCCGATTTGAAAATTTTAAACATCAAAATGTTCACAAACGCAAGAGCTCGCGCCCGCCAAAAAGTCCTAATGCCTCAAGGTCACCCTTCAAATTCAAACACGGCCTCAAAGGACGGGGGACTCGATTTCACCCCAAAAAAAAAATACTGGCCGATTTTCAACCTGCAACTGTCAGAGTATTCATCACAGAAAAAGTAGCGTTCGTCAGAGAGTCCTGACCTCTCGAGGTCATCCTTCAAGGTCAAGCGTTGGCTCAAAGGACGGGAAACTCGATATCACACAGAAATTATCGGCCGATTTTCAACTTACAAAGATAACAATATTCACCACAGAAAAAGGTAGCGTCCGTCAGAAAGCCCTGACCTCTCAAGGCCATCCTTCAAGACCAAACGCAAACTCAAAGGACGTGGAACTCGATATCACCCAAAAATTGCCGGCTGATTTGAAAACTATAAGCATCAAAATATTCAAAAACGCAAGAGCTAGCGTATGTGAGAAAGTCCTGACATCTCAAGGTAACCCTTCAAGATCGAAAGTGGGCTCAAAGGACGGGGAACTTGATATCACCCAAAAATTACCGCCCGATTTTCAACTTACAAACATCAGATTATTCATCACCGATAAAACTATCGTCCGTCAAAAAGTCCTGACCTCTCAAGGTCATTCTTTAAGGTCAAATACGGGCTTAAAGGACGGGAACCCAGTATCATCCAAAAATTACCGACCTATTTTTAATGTACAAAGATAAAAATATTAACCACAGAAAAAACTAGCGTCCATCCAAAAGTCCTGGCCTCTCAATGTCACCCTTGAATGTTAACATTTTGGTATTCCTTAAAGGTCAATATCTAAGGTCAATAATCTGATGTTTGCAAGTTTAAATCGCCCGGTAATTTTGAGTGATATGGAGTTCCCCGTCCTTTGAGCCCGCGTTTGACCTCGAAAAATGGCCTTGAGAAAATGACCTGGAGAGGTCAGGACTTTTTCACGGACGCTAGTTCCTCTTGTGATGCATATTCTGACAGTTGGAAGTTTCAAATCGGCCAGTAGTTTTTGGGTCATATAAAGTTCGTTGTGATTTGAGCCCACATTCGACCTTAAAAAAAGAACTTGAGAGGTCAGAACGTTGTCACGGACGCTAGTTATTTTTGTGGGGAATATTCTGACCTTTACAAGTTTTGACAGACGCTAGCTCTTGCGTTTGTTAATATTTTGATGCTAATAGTTTTCAAATCGACCGGTAATTTTCTCGTGATATTGAGTTCCCTGTCCTTTGATACCGTGTTTGACCTTGAAGCGTGGCCTTGAGAGATCAGAGCTATCTGACGGACGCTAGTTTTTCTGTGGTGGATACTCTGACATCCGCAAGTTGAAAATCGGCCGGTATTTTTGGGTGATTTCAAGTTCCCATCCTTTGACGTAGCTTTTGACCTTAGAGGTCACGTGATATTGCAGCAAAATAAGGGTGGTTTTTGGTGTTGTCATGCCACAATTGACCTTGAGGCCTTTTTCAGAGAAATCGGTGCTCGTCGCTGAATAAATCGCTGAATAAATCGCTGAATAAATCGCTAACTTTACGGACATCGACGAGTCTTATCTCATGAAAAGCAGCCAGCGAAATGAAGACAAATGAAAAATCTGTTGAACTGCGAGCCATCTATCCACTTTCAAGATTCTCACCAGCCTATATGCAGGCCGTATTTTCGCATCCACACTGTGGAGGCAGATGCTTCCACAATGGCCCAAAATGCCTACCCGCTCGTGGGATTTCGCCTCCCCAGGAAAAACAATATTGAAATGGACGAATAATCTTCGGAGCTGGATAACCTTATTTGCCAAATGACAGATGAGTCGAGTAGGCAAGATTGTACACCAGTGAGAAATCTCTATAGATGCAATCTAGCATAGCAGCCATGGCATTTGAAAAAATAGCGATAACAATCTGCATCCCTATTCCCCTCCCCTCCCCCCCGGTCATCGGGCTCGCTTTCCAGAAAAAGCTGGTGAAGTACACTCTGAGTTTGGCCCCCTCACCTTTTGAAACGTTCCTACGCCTATGATGGTGGTGTGATTTATAATTCCACAAACGAAACTAGCATACAGATACTTGACACCACCATCACGGAATGCGAATTGCTGGGGGGCGTTCAAGATCACTTACATCGCGAGCCGGCTGGTGGACGCGCATGAGCCGCCCCTCGGGCTGAGACGAGAGCTGTTAGCTATACGATACGCCATCAGTTTTTTTTCGCATCCTGCTTTTAACTCAATCTTTTCTCAGGACCTATTGCCGACATCGGCGTTCAGCGCCGTCCGAGAAAGGAAGCCAATGTGTGTGCGAGGGATTGAGTCATTCCAGGAAGCTGGTTCCGACATCACCCAGGTCCAGCCCCGTCCCAGCTCCCGCACTGAGCCGCGGCTGCCTCCCGCCCCAAGTTGTGGCATATCTCTGACCAGATTCTCCAAGTATTTGACTAATATAGAATAATTACGGCAAGAGACGTGTAAACTGATCGCACCTAAAAGCAAACACTCGAGTCATTTTTACACTGACGGTTCGAGGAATTCTGTCACGTGTCGTGCGCATATTTTGTCGGGTGATTTTCGAGTGGAAGTGCTGCCACGTCACGCCTCCGTTGTTACCGCCGTACTTCGGCAACCTTCTTGTGCCTTGACCGCATCTCTGAACTTAACGCGCCCTCTTCTACAGTGTTAACCGATTCGCTGATCTCAGCCCTTTGCTCTAGCGCCACACTCCAGGGGCACTTATGCTCTTGCGGCACACGCCAATATCAGGCTTATCCAAGACATGCTCGGAGCGCTCTCCGCCAACGGAAAAGCGGTGACCATGGTGCGGACTCTGAGCCATGTTGGAATCACGGGAAATGAATCGGCTGCTCGGTTTGCCATGGCAGGTGCGCTTCAGACGCCGGACCACTGTAAACAGAATACTGCTTCAGACGCCGAACCGCTGTAAACAGACTACTGCTTCAGACGCCGAACCACTGTAAACAGACTACTGCTTCAGACGCCGACCACTGTAAACAGACTACTGCTTCAGACGCCGACCACTGTAAACAGACTGCTGCTTCAGACGCCGACCACTGTAAACAGACTACTGCTTCAGACGCCGACCACTGTAAACAGACTACTGCTTCAGACGCCGACCACTGTAAACAGACTGCTGCTGGTGACCTGGCGGTGGCGGCGTGTCGGCAAAAGCGGGAGCGAGAGCTCCAAAAACATATTTAGAACTATAAAGCCCCTTCTTGGCTCATGGAAATATTTTAGAAGGGTCCGGAGGCAGGAGATATTCCTCGCATGCCTGCGCACAACACATACCTATGGTACCTCTTGGTTACCTCCTTACGAGCCGAGGGAGGCACCGTTGTGGTCGTTAATATAGCCCGCTATGTTAACCATGATCTGGTGGGCTGCAGCTCCCTGGTCACTGAAAGGCACGCTTCTTTGGGCGGTGTAGAGCATAGAGGTCCCTAACAGCGAAAATACCAGAGGTCAGCGTTGACCACGTTCTCAAGTTTTTATCTGCTGCTGGACTGTCGATATGCCCACATAAAAACCACAGTCGCCACCAGTTCGGCTAGTCTAGCGAATTCAACACGCCATGCATTACACGAGTTCGATCTTTCACCGCCATCCGTGGACGCTCGCACATCTACGTCATTGGATGCGCGTTGCGCGGTTCACCGGAGCAATGTTGAGGCCATCGCGCTACGGGACAGTGGCGGTTCCGGACGATTCGTCATAAACACGGCTTCGAGGAAAACCTTGGCCCAGCTGTATTTCGCCAACCCATGGCCACGGGACACGGGCGGGCTACCGGTTGTATCTTGAGTATCGGTCTGACATCACTGCGTCCCGCGGGCGGCGCATCCCGACCGGCCTGCCACCTGTCGGCTGTAGCAGCAGCACTGCTCGGCATCCGCCCCGGTCCTCACCAGTACCAGACAAGCCAAACACCAGCGGCGGACGGGGTCTGACGCCCGCAGCAGACGGGGTTTGACGCCCGCAGCAGACGCGCTTTGGTCCCGACCGATGCCAGGCACTCAATATCGTTGATCCAGAAAACAACGGCGGTGGATCAGCCGGAGCCAACGGATCCCATAAGCAGCAGAGGCGGCGGCCCACCATCACGGCAGCCTCGTGCCGGCACACGAGACAGCGCGTCGCAGACTTTCTCCACCGTTAATACCTCTGGCCGCACACGCCCGGCGCTCGAAGACATTTAAAAACATAGCGCACCAACGCCGCGGCACGCACGGTGACAGGCACCCGAATAAATTACTCTCACGCGGACGCCAGCCCGCTGCAGCCGCGGCGTTCCCTTCCATCACAACGGCGACGCGGCCTTTGGTGTCCTAGCACGCGCGGTGGGCGCCGCCGGTGTCGGTCATCCTAGCGACTGGAGCCTGCTTCTGAGGACCGGCACCAGCTGGTCGCGCTGCACTTCCTGCTCCTCGCGCGTGGCCACGTGCCGCAGCTTGACCACACCCCGCTGCAGCTCGCTCTCGCCCAGGACGATGGCGAACGGCACGCCGTGCTCCTCGCAGTACTGCAGCTGCTGCAGCAGCTTCGGGTTCTTCTTGTACGACTGCTCCGCCTGCACGAGACGGACAAGACGAGCAAGAGGTTAGCGGCTGAGGTGGTCGGGGCTCCGGTCGCCCCGGCGGGCTCGTGCGGAAGTGGACCAGTCGTGCCAGCCTGACTCCAGTTACCGTTCCTATGCGCCACCACAAGGCGGCCAGTTAATTCGTAAACCAGTGACCCCAGAAGTCGATGGGCGACCAAGAGGAACTCGCCGCGGAACGTCGCAACATGGCGTTGCGCAGTCGGTAACCCGCACGCCCGTGACGTCCGGTGGCGTGGTGACCCGCACGCCCGTGACGTCCGGTGGCGTGGTGACCCGCACGCCCGTGACGTCCGGTGGCGTGGTGACCCGCACGCCCGTGACGTCCGGTGGCGTGGTAACCCGCCGCCGCCGTGACCCCGCCGCCCGTGGTCCGTGGCGTGGTGACCCGCACGCCCGTGACGTCCGGTGGCGTGGTAACCGCACGCCCGTGACGTCCGGTGGCGTGGTGACCCGCCGCCCCGTGACGTCCGGTGGCGTGACGGTCTCGGTGGCACCCGCAGCCGTGACCCGGTGGCGTGGTGACACCGCCCCCGTGGACGGCCACGTCCGTGGCGTGGTGACCCGCACGCCCGTGGCGTCAGGTCGGAACACTTCCATGACAGGAGTGCGCCGGACCGAGGCCGGCGTGCGCACACAACAAATGTCTCAAGAGGACCTCCATCCCCTAGACACTCGAGGCAATGATTCACATCGCTAAATTTATCCAACAACACCACGCCAAAAGGTACCGACGACGCGGAAACCGCGTAGCCGCAGCTACCGCCCACCCCGCCCTCAGTCACTACCTTGCCATCACTCACCGCTCTCCACTCACCTTAACGTCAGCGTCCCACAGCATCGTGAGCAGCTTCATCCGCTCGTCCAGCAGGCCCTTCTGCGCCGAGCAGACGTACACCTCGGTGTCGGTGGTGCGCGTGCGGCCGGCGGCGGCGTCGGCGCGCGCCTCCATCAGCGCGAATACGCGCTCGATGCCGATGCTGACGCCCACGCAGGGCACCGAGCGGCCCTTGGGGTCGAACATGCCGACCAGGCCGTCGTAGCGGCCGCCGCCGGCAATGCTCCCCACGTCACCGTCAGCCAGCACGGCCTCGTAGATGACGCCCGTGTAGTAGTCGAGGCCGCGCGCCAGGCTCATGTCGAAGCGCACGTGCTCGGCCACGCCGTACAGCTGGCAGTAGCCGAGGAAGGCGCGCATGGCCTCCAGACCGTCGCGCACGTTCTTGCAGGCGGAGAGCGCCGTGTCGGCCTGCAGCGTGTCCACCAGCTCGACGCCGCCGTGGTACTGGACGTAGTGGCCGATCCTGTCGGCCACAGCCGGCGCCAGCTGCTTCTCGTCCACCATCTCTCGCTTCACCTCCTCCCAGGGACTCTGGCGGCGCGGCGGGGCGCGGTCAGTGGGGCGTCATGTGGTATCGGAAAGTGGAACGCGCGAGGCCACCCATCCTGTCGGCTGTTGCGGCAGAAATATTAAGCGACAGAGTCTGTCAACCCGCTTACCGTATCCGTTGAGGCAGACTAAAACAATATAATCATGGCAAGAAACAGCTGTGACCAGCGGACAAAACCCCGCGAAAAGCCAGTCTCACACGCAAGAACTGAACGCCGAGGCTGTGGCCCGCTGTCACCCCGTCGGCCCGTCTCACCTTGTCCAGCTTGTCGACGGAGGAGCAGATGGTACGGAACTGGTCGGCCGGCACGCCGCAGACCTCGAACAGGCCGTCCAAGATCTGCCGGTGGTTGACCTTGACCACGAAGCCGCCGAGCTGCAGCGACTGCAGGATCTCGGCCACGATCCGCACGCACTCGGCGTCCGGCACCATCGGGTCGTAGGCGCCCGCGATATCAAAGTCCTGCGACCGACGGCGGCTGAGTCAGGCGGCGGCAGCCATGCGCGAGACCCCCCCACCCTCCAAAGCGAGGGAGGCATGGTTATAATACCACATTGCGAGCCACGACCAAGACGTGTAGGGAGTGATGCCTCCGATGACGGGGTTGCCTCTGGTGGCTGGCCGCGGCCCGCCGCCGGAGAAACGGGCGACACCAGCCTACGAATCCCGACCAATCCGGCAGGCAACCCTGCAATGTCACCCGGGGGTTCACTACGTCAGACGGTGAGATACATGACTTTCTCATGAGAAGATATGGGCTGCAAGGGTATGATCTGCGCAAGTGTCCGCATTCGATGGGTAAAGATACCGATGTTATCGCCTGGACGCATAAGTCACCAAGAAATGAACGGCCGCACACGCATCGCCCCACCCGGCAGCAGTTCGGCTCACGCAGCAGTTCGGCCGCTCACGGCCGCGCCAGAGCACGACCTCCGCGGACGCACGCATCCCGGACAGCAGCCAAAGCAAACTCACACACTGGTAGAACTCGCGGAAGCGACCGCGCGCCTGCGACGGCTGGTCGCGCCGGTACACCTTGGCGATCTGGTAGCGCTTGATGTTGCTGATCTTGTTCATGGCCACGTACCGGGCGAACGGCACGGTCAGATCGTACCGCAACGACAGGATCTCGCCGCCCTGATCCTTCAGGTCGTAGATGAGCTTGCTGTCCTCGCCGTACTTGCCGGTCAGCACGTCCTGCGACACAGCGTATGGTCAGCGCTGCGCGGGGGGAAGGGAAGAGCTGCTAACGACGCCGTCGACACGTCCTCGCGGACCAGGGCGTCGGTGTTTCAGGTACAAGACGTACTGAGCAAGTACTAATGTGGAGCGCAAACTGTGCTCGAACTCGAGGAAGAGAACCGGGACTAAATGTCTAAAACGCCAGTTGATGCCGGGCGAGCATCCGAACAAATGTCTAAATACCAGAAACTCATAAATTACGGCTCTGATAATTCGCACGTGCGGTCATCTCAGCCGAGGAAATGGAGTCATACCCAACATCAGTGGTGAAGTGGGCTGCCAGGCATGGCGGTTCAGAATGTCAAGCTCAACGCGTACCTGAGGCCTAACAAAGCTCAGATGCCCTGAAAGTTGCATGCAACACTGCACAAAACCTAACGACACCACGGAATGTCTGAATGGCATCGTTTACAATCTATTTCGAGACACTTCTTGCGAAACAACATTGGTCAACCATGATGCGTGCGCACTTTTGGCTTCAATGCACGGTCACGGAGCCTAATGGCGACATCTCACGCAACAGCATTGCGAAACTCCACGACACATAATCAGCATCACGTGGTTGCTTGATACATTTCGCGGAACGCTCTCAAGTTCCCGCCCTAAATAGCAGGCACCAGCGGCCGACCACCCACCCACACAACACCCCGGCGTGCGGCCCCCACTCCCGCCGCGCCCTCGGCGCCTCGCACGACCTCTCTCGGCGCACCTTCAGCTCGAAGACGGGCGTGTCGATAGTCTCGGCGCCGTGCCGCTTAAACGTCTGCACGATGGTGTTGAACACCCGCTCCCGGATGGCCATCTGCGCCGGCTGGAAGTCGCGCGTGCCCTTGGCCGTCTTCAGGATGAGCTTGCCGCCGCCGCCGCCGCCCGAGCGGGCGCTCTGGTGGCGCTGCTTGTCACCCCCATCGGCGGTGTCCGAACAGAGACTGGCTCGCAGCGCCGCCAGCCGCGCCACCTCGGCGTCAAGCTGCCGGCCGTCGGCACGGCGGGTCACGCGGGGAGCGAGGGGGTCACACGGGGAGCGGGGAGGCAGTGCAACACTGTCGAGGAGACTCTGCGCACAGGACAGCGAAGAGCCTGGCGCCGACCGTCCAGACCACGTCCCTGATGTCGCGTGCGGCACTTCTTAATACGTCTGAGGGTTGGCCAAATGTCACAAGCCAAACAATGGCTTAACAAATAGGAGATGGGCCCAATGTGATGGCATTTAACGGGTATGTGTCAAATGTGACGCGGTGGCAGCGCACACCACAAAGGGAGATCACGACGGCCATAGTTTTCATTGAGCATTCACTGGCAATCAATGACAACCATTACAACAGATGGGTATGCAAATACCAGAAACGCCACCACAGCTGACAAAATATGCTTAACGTTTACAAGGGGTGAAAGTAAGACGGTAAATGGGTCGACATCTCTGGCATTTACGCGGATGGCACCGGCGTTGCGGCACATTAACAGCGATTTCAGCTGCTCATCCAACACAAAGACCCACTAACAGGCACACACATACCCACACGGCAGGAGCAGCCCCCGAGCAGCGTTTGAGCCCCACCCCCTGTATGCCCTGGACCCGCGGTCGGCCCTCACCTTGCCGCGACCGAGGAGGGCCCAGCCAGCGAGCCGCCGCAGCCGCAGCGCCGGCCCCATCAAGCGCGCGCCCTGCCGCCCCGCGCACCGGAAAAGAGGCAGACCGTGAGCGCCAATCAGCGACAAGTACCTGTTGTCGCGCCTCCTCGGCACCCGTTTGCAGCACGCGCTCCAGGCTGAGGCCGGCCGGCGGCGGCGCCGCCAGCTCGCCGGCGGCGAAGCTGGCCAGATGGCGGTGCCAGCGGCGCACGTGGGGCGTCTCGTCGCCTAGCTCACGCTCGGGTACGCGCGCGCGGGCCTCGGCGTCGAGTCGGCCGGGTGCGGCGCCCGACAGGTAGGCGCGCGACGCCAGGAATCCATCGAGGCCGAGCAGCTGGCGTCGGCTGAGCGCCGCCATCTGAGGACACACGCACGCGACGGCCGCCGCTGACACAGTGTCCGGCGGCGGCGGCGGCGGCGCGCCACGTCACGCGCGTGACCTTGGCGCGCCCCGGCCGCGGGCCAATCGGCGCGCCACGCCGGCGGGCGCGGTCCACGCGGCGCGCGCCGTCGCGGTCGGGCACGCGAGCGAGGCACCGGTACCCGGCGGTCAGCTCGGCGAATCGTGGAAGCCAATTGGTAGTGGTTACCCCTGGATTGCAGGCGCCCACCAGCGCTGAGCTAAAGATGATGTAATGTTACACAGCAGGTGGAGCAGGACTGGGACCGATGAGTGTTGCCAGTGTACGCAAGGAGCCGAGCGCGATACTGGTGCGGCTCGTAGGAGTGACAGCGATCTGCATGACATTACTCTGAGTTGGCTAAATCTGACATCAGGCTCAATTCCATGAGAAATGTGCCCAGGTCATATACTTGTACATGTGAATGAATGAGCTTATGATGCAGTGAGGACTACCTCTGACTTCACTGCAAGAAGATACACTTCTTATTTTGCTAAGATAGGTGATGCAATAAAACTACAATTTGCCTTAGTCAAACATGCCTGGATGTGTAATGATCTTTGGAAAACTAAGGAGCCATGATTTATATAAAGTAGGTTGTTTAGAGACAATTCCATGTTATCAACTGACTTCTTTTGATGACATGAATTCCAGTTTAGGGTTTATTGTTTTGCTTCTCAGTTCGGTTGTGAAATGCAAGCTGTATTGATTCAGAAAAGCACCATGAAATGCATAAATGCATGTATGTAATCCTAAATGGATATTAATAAAATCACATGAAACATATTGTGGAGGGTGCAACAACATTCCTGCATTACTTGTAACCAAGAGGACTTAAACTAGATAACTTCAAGCTGACAAAGTCCTACCAGTTCTTACTTAGTTGCTACTTAGGGTGACAAAAGTGCAGCACTGATGCATACAAGAGATTTAAAAAAACACTCACTATGCCTATATCCACCACTTCCATAGATTTATACAACAAATGCATGGTGCATTGATGCTGCCTGATCAGCAGGTAGTATATACCTGTTAGTATATACCAGCAGGCAGCATAACTGATCAGCAGGTAGCAGCAGTAGACTGTTGAACTTAATAACATTAGTGTAGCCCTCTGAAAACACTGTAGCTAAAAGCTTGACTTCAGGAAACAGTGTTTGTCTGTTTGTTGTGTTAGCTTCTGTTTTAAACATTACATCAGGTCCATGTCATGGCTTACTATGAATGTAACTGACAGTGCAAACTTTCATATGACATAAACAAGAACTTAAAAGACTCTGTAGCACAGGGGCAGAACATTATTGAAACATGTCTGGCAAGACACAGCATATCAGGAAAGGAAAGAACATGTTGGTATACAACCAGCCAAGGGTCAGAAGCCTAGTACCAGACAAGCTGCTAATTATTACACCTTACGCTATATAACATTCAAAGGGCACTACACTCAGGACACTCTGGCACAACTTTGGAGGCATTCTCATGTAACTCATATCATCACAAAAAACTAGAACCAGAGCTGACTTGGTGCTTTTTCAGAACTTTTCTAGGTTCTTTTGGTCTAATAGAACTAAAACATACCTTCCATAACTGCCAGGATAAATACTTTATAACTGCTTTTACAATGTATACATTATCCTGCCCAGCAAGCAACATCCTAATTTTCCCAAATATTACATGATAACTATGCTAGAATAATATTTGCATGCACTATACATTAAGATCCAGTAACTGGGCACCATCACAGTGTGAGTGGTGTCCTGCACAATGTGCATTGCCAGCACAAGTTTTTGTAAAATATTTTTTTCTTGTGACATATTCCCACAAATGACATCACTAACTAAATATTCGGTCAGGGTGTACTTTCCTTCCTAACATTGGAAAAAAATCATTGTACACCATTTGTCGTGTTTAAGGCAGGACATATTGTAAATAATCACAAAACAGGTAGATTCATGCTCTTACCTTCAAATTTTTAATAATAATGATGGCGAGCTCCCAAACGCTGCACACACACAGCAGCAGTGACACTGGAGCCATTGCTGTGCGCGGTCACAACATTACTGCGCAACAAGCAGCATCAAGAACCATAAAAATGTATGGGGCCAAGGTAACAAGAATCCATGAAATTTGATCCTCGACGCCAACAGGACGATGGGTTGCAGGGGGATTGGGTGGGGAATCTAAAGCAAAATGAGAACATGGTGGCTAAATAAAAGCTCCCTTTATGGCACCCTATATGGCATGGAACATGGGTGCCAATGGGACACTGGGTTGAAGGGGACATATGGTGGGGAGGTTAGGTTAGGTTGGGTTTGGTTCAGTGGGTTGGGTAAGGTTACATTAGGTTAGGTTATGTTAGGCTAGGCTAGGTTAGGTTAGGTTAGGTTAGGCTAGTTTAGGATATGTTCTGGACTGTTCCGGCCTGTGTGTTTCATAAATGTACCTAAACACAATAAGAAACAATTTTAATTGCTTTATTACTGTTGCCTTGGTCCTGTACATTTCTTATGGTTCTTGATAAGCAGAAATATTGTACTTATGCAATAACGCAGAAACGGCACTGGGGAGTCCAGGCGGTGTGGCGCGTGCTGTGCTCGGGAGCTCGCCATCATAGTTATTGAAGTTTGAAGGTAGGAGCATGGTTCTACCTCTTTTGAGATTATTTACAATATGTGCCGCCTTAAACACGACACATGGTGTGCAAGGATTTTTTCTAACGTTAGGTAGGAAAGTACACCTACACCCAATATTCAGACAATGTCTTGTGATTCAGCTTAAACTAAACACAATCTAATTTAACTCAAATGCTTCATGGAATTAACCATCATAGGGGAGGGGGAGGACCCTGGCCCAAGATCTGCTAACTCACAGGCAAATAAATGATCAGCACCATCTCTCAAAACATCCACATATAGTGAACTCTGTTGCTGTTGTGAAAATGATTGCTTTATTTTGAGGTTAAGATGGCACAATCTATTGATCTATGAATACTGTTGGAATCACACTACCTCTTGAGTTACCATATGTTGATTGTTCTGAAAAGTGGTGCATATTGATAGAAATACAGGGATTCTAACATGACACACATTCCCCCTCTTTCCTAGACACTTATTACCTGGCCAAGCACTACTGAACGCCAGCTGTGCATTCATGCATTCACACACATGGGCACAACATAGCAATCAAAATGACAACCATCCAGACAGAATAACTTCGGGATTTTCAATAGGCAATATGATTATTTTGCGTTATCACGTTTAGATTATCACTTGAACAGAACTCTTTCTCGCCTACATAGGCAGTCAATAACGTAATTTGAGCGGGAAACCTCGCGATTTTACTGATGCAGCGTAGACAATGAAGCTCCCTAGCTCCAAGTGCACAATCGAACTCAGCTATCAGCCTCACCAGTCTTCGTAACAGTACTTACAAGATCAGTCACCGTTGCTACCTACTAGAACAACCTTTTGGCCCTCCCACAACCACCCTGGCCTCTCAGGGTTAACCGGAGCAGAGCCCGCACCAGCACAGATGGCAAAGCAGCCCGGCGGATGATCAGGTGCGGTTCTTTCGTCAAAGACGCGCTGCTATCCCTGCAATTATTGAAGGGATCCTAGCAATGGGCAAAGAATAGTAACGTACTTACCGAGTCGAGTACCAAACCGCTGGCCAAGCTGAAAAAGTAGTAAGTGTAGCTAGCGTGATTGATATCAAAATATTTTTGCTGTTTCGTAGGTACTTTCATTTTCTCACATGTCTTGATTCAGCATTGGCTGTTTGAATCAGAGCATGACTTGGGCAACGTTTTTAAGCTTTGAGAAAGATCTTTTGAACAAATGACAGCGCTGTTAATGCCGGCGTGATCCGGTGTGGGTGTCCGTGCGCCGGCCTTTCTGGGATGGGTGCCACGGGGTGAGGACGTGGTGTGGCCTGTGAAAGTAAGTTTATCTGGCTTTTTGTTTGGAGAGACTTCAGATCAGGGGTTCAAAGCCATTGAAATTTTTCATCACAAGCCCCGTTGTCTACTTATTCATACTTGATCAATCAGATCGGCGTGAGGCTCGGGTGGAAGCTGACTGATGCGGGTATTTCGGCGATGTGACTTAAATGTATCTGCCAACATATTGTTTCAATTTTTTGTAGGCGTGCTTTCCTTTGCTGGTGAGATCGGGTGCTTGTGAGGTTATGCGGATATGAAGTGATGAATGCGGGCGGTATGAACCTGCGTGATGTGGGACCCGCCACGTGGTTTTCGGGGCTTGGTATCCATATCTTATGGCTTTCAAGTGCTTAGTTCCTCCTGCCACATAGTCTGTGGGCTCTTTCTCCTGCTACATCTTATGTAGAGGTTTTCGTGCTGCATGGTTTTTGGGGCTCAGTACCTGACCGCTTGAGTTTCCATAGCTCATCCAGTTCATTCAGGAAGTTTTCAGTTCCTTCAAGAAATTCTGGAACTTGCTTGGGGCAGGTTAGCTACAATCTGCTGCCAGGGGGAAGTGCCAGCTGTCTTGGCACAACTTAACCAGAAGTTTTTGTTACACTGGATGCAGAAATCAATTAATGCACTAAATGTGTAAAGGCCTGGTGGTCATTGAGGAGTAAAGCTCCAATCATTAGCTTGCTGAATAATTATTCAGTTTGGTCAGGGTGTACTTTCCTACCTAACATTAGAAAAAATCATTGTACACCGTTCATCATGTTTAAGGCATGACATCGTAAATAATCTCAAAACAGGTAGAATCATGCTCCTACCTTCGAATTTCAATAACTTCGATGGCGGGCCCCCGAGCGCCGCGCACACCGCACCGCCTGGACTCCCCAGCACCGTTTCCGCATTGCCGTTGCGTAAATACAATATTTCTGCGTACCAAGAACTGTACAAAATGTACGGGACCAAAGTAAACCATTCGTCATGTTAAAGGCAGGACAACCATAACCTAACTGCGAACCATAAAAATATTTACTAAATATAAACCATATTTACCATAACCATATTTACCATATAAACCATATTAACTGTGAACCATACTATAAACCATAACTATAACTATAAACTATACTATATAAACCATACTATAACTATAAACCATATGTACTGTGAACCATAAAAATGTACCGGGACAAGGTAGCAAGAATCCATGAAATTTGATCCTCGACGCCAACGGGACCATGGGTTGCAGGGGGATTGGGTGGGGAATGTAAAGCAAAATGAGAACATGGCAGCTAAATAAAAGCTCACTATATGGCACCTATATATGGCATGGAACATGAATGCCAATGAGATGCTGGGTTGGAGGGGATATAGGGTGGGGAGGTTAGGTTAGGTTAGGTTCAGTCAGGTCAGGCTAGCTTAGCTTAGCTTAGGTTCTGGTCTATTCTCAGTTAGGTTAGGTTAGGATATGTTCTGGACTATTCTGGCCTGCGTGTTTCATAAATGTACCTAAACCCGATAAGAAACGATTTTGGTTGCTTTATTATTGTTGCCTTGGTCCCATACATGTCTTATGATTCTTGATAAGCAGAAATATTGTGCTTTCGCAACAACGCAGAAACGGCGCTTGGAAGTCAAGGCGGTGCGGGGCGTGCGGCGCTCGGGAGCTCGCTATCGTATTTATTAAAATTTGAGGGTAGGAGCATGATTCGATCTGTTTTGAAATTCTTTACGATATGTTCCGCCTTAAACACGACGAATGGTTTACCTTGGTCCCATACATTTTGTAGAGTTCTTGGTAAGCAGAAATATTGTATTTACGCAATGGCAACGCAGAAACGGCGCTCGGGAGCTCGCCATCGAAGTTATTGAAATTTGAAGGTAGGAGCATGATTCTACCTGTTTTGAGATGATTTCCGATATGTGCCGCCTTGAACACGACGAATGGTGTGCAATGATTTTTTCTGACGTTAGGTTGGAAAGTACACCTACACCTTCAGTTTTGTAGACATGCATGATCAAATGATATGCATGTAATAACAATTGATAACCTGCACCGGTTTACACACCAGGACTTATTTGACATCAAATAGAGCAAACAAGAACATTCTATTAAAATGTGTCACTGATGCTTACAGCAGCTTATCTCAAATGCCCTTGCAGACCTCTGGGTTGAGGTGAGAAGAGGTATGAGTGCATGTGCCGGTTTTTGGGTAGCAGAAGATTTCCCTTCATTTTTCCTGCCTCTTCCCCCCCCCCCCCCTTTGCCATGCACACACTAGCTTCAAATGAGTTGGTAATTTGTGGAGCATATTAAAGGTGGTGTCACATTCTTGTGTAGGGTTTTGAACTAAATTAGAAATCTTAACCTTTGGTGCTGTGTACAACCCTGCCCTTCTCAATACCTTGGCCCCCTCCAGTTTCTGGGCTACACCCCTTCAAGAGAGGAGAGTATTCCATTCACCTTTGCATTCATGAAGTCATGTTCAGATAAGGTTATTACTAATGCTGTTCATAGCTGGGATTTGGGTATGATGTCCAGATAGATTTTTCTGCTGTCAGTTGGCTTTAAATCAAGATTGTACAAGGTACAATTATGTAATCAAACTGTGACAACTGGAAAACATATTCACTGAAGTGTTTTCCTTGCGTTGTGCTATTACATTCTATGTGGGTAGGAGGCTGGAGCAAGCCCAGCTGGACAGGAAACTTCACCCCAGTGTAGCAATTGTATTGTATCTGATCACATAGTTCCATGATGAGGTCTTGTGCTGATGCGGTGAATGTTAGGTGAATTCACTGGCAAACTTAAATCCACTGGAATGCTTCCTAAGCAGAGTAAGAAATTCAGACATCAAAATTTTTCAGTAGGATGTGTGAAGTGTTTCAAATTTACTGGTGTACAGCCTAAGTTGTCTAGTCCATGGTGATGGTCCCTGAAATGTGTGTTGTGTTATTGCACTGTGTTGTCAGTTTGTAAGTGATTGGTTATCACTTCCCAGGTATGCATTACCGAAGAGCAGGATGCTCCCAATGTGGAATTACCTGAGAATGTCAGGATTGGAGCAGGGGAATGACTTCAAGGTAACTCATTTTGCTGCTATTGTATGCCTCAACATGGATGACCATTTTGATGATGCATTTAATCACGACGGTCTACTGATTGTGTGGATGATAATGTGATTTCTGACAGTGTTAAATGGTACAAGGATGCTGTGTTCAGAAAAGATGGTCACAGCCATTATTTTCAGATTCTGACTGCTGACATTAGATGGCCTCAGCTGTCTGCACAGCCCCAAACATCAATATAATCACCAGCACCACCATCTGGTATGTTTTTGCATTCCTGGAACTGTTATCCCCCACCCTGATAAGGAGAGGGGTGATGTTTCTGATGATACCCCTCTAGAATTTCCTGCAATGGGTCCCTTGATTTTTGTAGCTAATGGTGTGCTGATTGTTTTTTTTTTTTTGCACCAAAACATTGCTAGTCTGGCATTTCTGGTTTCGGGGCAGCCGCAGGTTTTTGGGAATACCGCACGGTGATCGGCTGGCGGCAACCAGCGATGCTTCAGAATTGAACTGGTGCAGGGGCTGACATTGTTACATTAATAAAGTTATGCTTCTGGTAGATCTGAGCTAAAGTGTACGTCATTGCGCTCAGGATTGGAAAACAACCTTGCGTTTTGAGGTGTTTCAACCCGTTACGCAGTGGTCTCATATGAGATAAAGCAGGAAGTGTGATTCTGGGGAGCATTTTGCCTTTGAGCTCCCATGTTGAGATCATTGTTTGATCAGGCATCGAACTTTGACAATCGCGAGGTTTCGTTGAGATCCACGGGCATTCTCCACTAAACTTAATTTGTTGAAACGGCAAGGGGGTCACATGCCCTCCCCCGCCAGTCCACGTAATGGGAAACGGCGAATTGGGCGGGGGTCACTCGCCATGCTGATATTTGAAAGTTGGGTGCTTGACTTGTGCATCGTGAATGGTCATTCCAATGATGTATCTAATCACGACGGTCTACTGAGCATGTGGATGACAATGTGATTTCTGATGATTGCACTGAAGTCATAGCATGATTTGTTTCTGCACAAGATAATCATGCGACCATCATTTTTCAGATGTTTGACTGCCGCTCAGCATTACTGACAGGTGTGTTGTCATAATCTTGCCC